TGCGCCCCCGCTGGGTCCGCCCGGCGGTGCGTTTGCCGGCACCGGCACCAGTTGTGCGGGAGCCAGCGCTCCACCTCGAAGTGGGAGGGGGTGTGAGGCCTGCGGGAGGCTCGGTCAGGAGGCGGCAGCCACCACGTTTTCCAGAATGCACCCCAGTGTTGGGAAGCGCCAGTCCAGCGTCACTGGGCAATATACTTAAGGCGCCTGGTCCACCTCCTGCTTTGTTCTCACGTTTACCGTCTGCCCCCTCCTCCGTGAACCGTGCCCTAGGCCAGGCTCCCCAGGACTGGGGACCAGCAGGAGAGGGCATCAGTGTGCCCGGGCAGGGAGCTGGAGTGAGGCTGGCACAAGCACTTAGCCCGGGGCTCAGGGGGGTGCGCTCCCACTGAGTCCCGTCCTGCTGAGTGCCTGGCCTTGCCCTGGGAGGCCCCCCATCCCCCCAGTGAGAAAGGACTGGAGGTTCTCCCTGCCTGAGCGTCCCTCCTGAGAACCCGCGGGGGTCAGCGCTGCAATACAAGGCTGCGACGCCAGGTGGCGATGGACACGGGGCCAGGAGTCTGCGGGGCCTGCGCTCCGGGTGCCATGCGCGGGCGGTCCCAGGTGCACAGCCGAGACTGGAGGCGCGTGAGGCGGAGCAATATCCATTTCCCAACTGAAGTTCAGACGATTGCCTGCCCGCCCGCCGCCTGCCCGGCCGGGGCCCATCCAGGAGGAGGAGGGTGAGTCACGGCCTGAGGCTGGACTGCCTCCTTCCGGGCTGCCCCGTCTGTGCCCTCCTGGCCCGTCCTCCCTGCTCTCTGGCCGCCTTGCGCACATGTCCCTGGGTCAGTGGCTTAGGATGGTGGCAGCGGTGTGGACACACACGCTCACTAGGCCTGGGAGGGTCGAAGAGGGTCTGTCCTGGGGGAGGGGAGCTCAAGGAGGGGAAGGCCTGGGGGGATGGGGTGTGCAGCCCAGTGGGTAGGGGAAGAGTCAGGGCCTGCTCAGAGCTGAGCCCCACACTTGGAACCACTCAGCCCACACTGACCTAATCGATTTATTTGCATGACAGCTGGAGCCGGGAGGTTTGGGGAGGGTCATCACGTAGTCCCGTTAGGGAGGTCTGAGAAGCAGAGTGAGCGGAGGCGGCCCCACGCTGAGGGCCTGGGCAGAGGGCAGCACCAAGGGGCTGTCCCCGGCCCTCCTCAGGCTGTCCCTTTCCGGCAGCTGAGGGCAGCTGGCTCTCTGGAACACTCACCAGCTATTTTTATCTTGGCTTTTGTCTTGCAGACACTTCCTGCTAAGTAGTGATGAAACACCTTCTCAGGCCTGGCATGTGGAGGGGCAGGGAGGGGCCAGAACTTCCTGGGGGGCGGTATATGATCTTAGTCACTTCCCTTCAGGGCAGGCGGTCCTTCCAGCTAGTTCCTGCAAGGGCCATGGGTCAATCAATGTTTGCTGAGTGAATGTGCATTTCCGCCTATCTGCCTGCTCTGGGTGTTGGAGCCTGTCGGTCCCTTTGCCTGTGTCTGTCTGCCTGTAGGGCCAGGGCCTGGGGACCAGACAATGACGGCAAATCATCGGTGTGAGCTCAGGAGAAATAATCAGCCCGGGAAATTTGCAATGGGGGACGGGCTGGGGCAGCCCCCACTGTGCTGCCGATTCTCTCCAGGCACCAGCAACCTCCTCCCCTCTTGCTCCCCACTTGCTCCCTGCAAGCTGGGCTGGGCTGTCCATCGCTGCTCCCTGGAGCCCTGGGGGTACACCCCTCCTGGGATGCACCCTTGTTAGGCAAAGAATCGGCCCTGGGCTGGCAGCCTCCCCAAGGCCCCCAGTGACCCCTCCTGGTATTCAGATCCCGCAGACATGATGGGCTGTCTCTTCAAGATTAGGTGGCAAGTTCTGCCTGCTCTCTGTCTGACAATGTTTACTCTGGGGAGACCAGCTGTGCTGTGTTATGAAGAAGGCAACCCAGAGTGACCTTGAGACCTGTGGTCACCGCCATGACAGTCAGCTTAGTAGCAGGCCCTCCGGCATCGTCCGGCCCTCAGACAAGCCCCAGTTGCAGCGACAGGGCTGGAAGCTTGAAGCCCTATGCTTGGCCCACGTCACCCCTGACCTCACAGTAAGAGAGGTGCGGGTCCCTGAGCAGCAATAGCTTCCCACCTCCAACCCTCCCATTCTTACCCTGGGGGTGGGGCTCCCCCAGCATCCTTCCTTGCCTTGTCCCAGCACAGTGAGGGTTAGGGCCCATTGTCTTCTCCAGGCTCCATGCCCACCCCCCAACTTCTGTGCTGGCCACAGTCTGAGCCAAAAATCCCTGCCCAGGGCCTGGATGGCTCCAGCCTGAGCACCCCCAACTCCTGACCCCCTTCCTGTCCTTCAAGACCCCAGGCACCTCAGCACCTGGATGTGGGCTCTCCTTGCCAACCCAGGTCAGGGAAGTGTTACACACGCCTTGGCCAGGCTGTTCTATGGGGACCAGGAGCAAATCTTCATGATCTTGGGTGTCATCCCGTGCACTGAGAGGTTGCCGGTTCGATTCCCTGTCAGGGCACATGCCTGGGTTGTGGGCTGGATCCCACGTAGGGGGCGTGCAGGAGGCAGCCGATCAACGTTGTGCTCTCATATTGATGTTTTTCTCTTCTCCCTTTCTCTGTAGAAATCAATAAATTATCCTTAAAATATATATTCAAAGTGGACTTCATAAAATTAAAGTGCTTTGTACTTCAAAGGACATTAGCAAACAAGCAAAAAGACAGAATGGATGACAATATTTGCAAAACATATTGACTAGGGACTTGTCTTTAGAATCCTATCTAATACAGAGGGAATAGGCTAATTGACCACAATGCCCTTACAAAGATGGTGGCGCCCACAGCCAATAAAGAGGGAATATGCTGCACTAACCGGTTTGGCTCAGTGGACAGAGCGTCGGCCTGCGGACTCAAGGGTCCCAGGTTCAATTCCGGTCAAGGGCATGTACCTGGGTTGCGGGCACATCCCCAGTAGGGAGTGTGCAAGAGGCAGCTGATCGATGTCTCTCTCTTTCATCGATGTTTCTAACTCTCTATCCCTCTCCCTTCCTCTCTGTAAAAAATCACTATTTTTTTAAAAAAGAGGGAATATGCTAATTGACCGCCACGCCCTCAAAGATGGCAGTGCCTCCAGCCACTGGGGCACTTGCCTCCAGAGTCCCCCAGTCCCCTCAGCCCCCCCAGCCACTCAGGGCCAGTTCAAGGCGCAGGCAAGCCTTGGATGTCGGCTGCCCAGCCGTCCAGGGCCACCCGAGGCTCAGGTAACCAGGGCCAGCCAAGGCTTGTGCTGCCAGCAGTGGCAGCAGCAGAGGTGTGATGGGGGCATCGCCTTCCCCTGATCGCCGGGTCACCTCCTGCCCCTGAGGGCTTCTGGACTGTGAGAGGGAGCAGGTCAGGCTGAAGGACCCCCACCTGTAGTGCATGAATTTTCATGCACCGGGCCTCTAGTATATAAGTAACTCAACTCAATAATAAAAAAGATAAAAAATCCGACTTAAAAAATGCGAAGAATCTGAATAGTCATTTCTCCAAAGATCTGTAATTAGCCAATAAGCACATGAAAAGGTGCTCGGCATCATTAGCCATCAGGGAATTTAAATCAAAACCACAATGAGCTGAAACCAGGTACATGCCCTTGACCGGAATCGAACCTGGGACCTTTCAGTCTGCAGGCCGTAGCTCCATCCACTGAGCCAAACCGGTTTCAGCTAAAATAAATCTTTTTGTTGAAAATATTACATATGTCACCCCCACACACACTCACCTCCTCCAACCCGCCCCCAACCCACCCCACCCCAGGCCTTTACCACCCATTGTCTGTGTCCATGGGTTAGGTGCAGCCACTTTAGAAAAAGTCTGGAAGTTCCTCAAAAGATTACCTGTAGGGTTCCCATGTGCCTCAGCAATTCCATTCCTGGGCCTGGACCCACAAAAAATGAAAACAAATGTCCACTAAAAAGTGTGTGCAGTATTATTCATAATAGCCAAGAAGTTGAAATAATCCAAATGTCTGTCAACTGACGAACTGAATGGATAAATAAGTGTGTATAGTCATGCAAATGAATGTTATTTGGCAATAAAAAGGTATGAAGTACTGAAATATACTACATATAACATGGGTGAACCTCGAGAATACTATGCTCAGTGAAAGAAACGGTCACGAAAGACCACATATTGTGTGATCCCGTTTACCTGACGTGTTTAGAACATGCAAATCGACAGAAACTAGATGAGTGGTTTTCTGGAGCTGGGGGGAGGTTGAGGGAATGGGGGTGGGGCCTCTTGTGGAGTAATGGAAATGTTCTAAATTTGATTATAATAATAGCTGCACAACTAAAAACCATTTACTTTAAATAGATGGATTGAATGATGTGTTAATCATGTATCGATAAACCTGATGACCTCCTCCCTACAAAAATAGCCATAGAGAGAAAGTTCTAAGAGCTGCTAGAGAAAGAAGAGGCATTATACACAGAAGAACAAAGATGAAATGATGGCAGATTTCTTGTTGGAAAAATGCATGTGAGGAGACGGTGGAACATATTTGAAGTGCTAAAAGTGAAAACTATTCCTTAGAACTCTATAAGCAGACCCACCCCTACCTATGCAGTTGGTTGATCATCAACAAAGGTGCAAAGGTAATTCCCTGGAGAACGGGGAGTGTTTTCAATCACTGGACCAGGAACAACTGGACATCTATATGCAAATAAAATCTGGAACCATGCCTCACACCATAGGTACAAATCAACTCAAAACAAATTATAGTTCTGAATGCAAAACCCGAAACTATAAAACTTTCTGGAGAAAACTTAAAACATTTTTGTGACCTTTGGTTAGGCAATGATTTCCTAGATATGACACGAAAAAAACAATCCATGGAAGAAAAATGGATAAATTTTTAAAAATATATATACATATATATATTTAATACATTTTATTGATTTTTTACAGAGAGGAAGGGAGAGGGATAGAGAGAAACATCAATGAGAGAGAAACATCAAGCAGCTGCCTCCTGCACACCTCCTACTGGGGATGTGCCCACAACCAAGGTACATGCCCTTGACCGGAATCGAACCTGGGACCCTTCCGTCCGCAGACTGATGCTCTATCCACTGAGCCAAACCAGTTAGGCCTAAAATATATTTTTATTGATTTCATAGATCAAGGGAGAGAGAGTTAGAAACCTCAATGATGAGAGAATCATCTATCAGCTGTCTCCATACTGGGGATCAAGCCTGCAACCTGGGCCGGCCTCCTGGTTCATAGGTTGATGCTCAACCACTGAGCCATGCTGCCTGGGGCCCCGGTAAATTTTTTAACTTCTGCTCCTCAAGAGACATTGTTAAGAAAATGAAAAGATAAGCCATAGAGTAGCAGAAAACATTTGCAAATCACACATCTGATTAAGAAGATTCAGAGATCTCTCAGGAGTCAACAATAAGAAAAGAACTAACCCAATTAAGAAAATGGGCAAGAGATTCGACCAGTCATCGCACAGAAGATTATGGCAGAAACAAAACAAAACATGAAGGGAGCCCTAACCGGTGTGGCTCAGTGGATAGAGCGTCGGCCTGTGGACTGAAAGGTCCTAGGTTCGATTCCGGCCAAGGGCATGTACCTGGGTTGCGGGCACATCCCCAGTAGGAGATGTGCAGGAGGCAGCTGATCGATGTTTCTCTCCCATCAATATTTCTAACTCTCTGTCCCTCTCCCTTCCTCTCTGTAAAAAATCAATAAAATATATTTAAAAAACAAACAAACAAACACGAAGGGATACTCTAGTCATCACTAGTCATCAAGGAAGTTCAGGGTAAAGCCAGAGTGAGGCACCTAGACGTGTATGAGATGACGGAAGACTGGCCACGCCTGTCGGCAAGGATGTGCCTCACACACTGTTGCTGGGAGTGAAAACTGACCATATTGGGAGACAGTCTGGCCCTTCCTTAGGAAGTTAAGCGCATTCCTGTCCTGTGACCCAGCCACCCCACCTTAAGTATTTGCCCAAGAGAAATGGAAGCCCACGTCTACACAAGACCCGGACACAGCTTTCTATAGACTAGTCCCATCCAGAGATAGCCCAGGGGTCCATCAGCGGTGAACGGAAATACCAACTGTGTAGCCAGCAACGGAACACTCCACATTCATAATTTTAAAAAGACCTATTGATACACACACTGGTGTGGATGAATCTCAAAATACTTGTGCCGAGTGACAGACACCAGACACGTCCTCTTGTCCTTACAAGAGGGAACGTGCGGTCTGACCCGTTTGTATAAAATGCCAAGCTACGGAGTCCCAGGGGAGCAGGGCCAGAGGCGACTCCAAGGGAGAGGAACCTTCAGGGATGATGGGCGCTTCACTCTCTGGATTGAGGTGATGGCTTCCGGGATGTTTACCTGCCAAAACGCAGCGAATTTCACACTCTAAATACGTGCAGTTTGCCGTGTATATATTATACCCCATTCAAACGATTACAATTTTTAAAGTAAAAAGCCCGTAATCTGTGGAAAGCATTTAAGAGTGTCCGGCATGGAATAGCTGCTCGTTGAAAGTTGGCTCTTGCTTCGGGGTATTTACAGTCTCACAGGGGCTACAAACCTTCAAAAGGGGGGCCTGGCACCCCAAGAAGTGTCCAGGCCCTCCCCCCACCTCCCACCCCTCACCCCTCACCCCTCACCCCGCTGCGCTCTGCTGGCTTCCAGTGGGGGGGACCTGTGCCCTCTGGTGGCCGCCAGGGGTAGCGCAGGCTGCGTGCTGTTCACTGCCTCTTTCTGATACCGGCCGCTTCCCCCTATGGGGTTGCTTTCCATCCACAGAACCGCTCCCTCCCGCCCGGGTGCTGGTCTCTGCAGAGACACGGCCTCCAGGAGCTGAGTCAGTGTCCCAATGACCTGCTGCAGAGCTCGCCTGTTTTCCTTGGCGGCCAGACCCCCGGGGCCAAGCAGGTCCCTGATTGGGGTGGTAATTAACTCCAGCAACAGCTGGTTTTCAAAAGGCCTTCTCGTCCTTGCTTGGCCTCCAACCTCACCCACCGCACTCCCCACAGCCCTGGAGCCAGCCTCCCTGCCTCCTGTGACCCTGTATTCTCTTCTTCCAGGGCCACCAGGCTGGTTGTCACAAAAGCCTCCCCTGGTGGGAACCGTGTTTGCCTGGACATGCAGGTCCACACACATGTGCCACAGAGCAGGGACCCGCCCTGGGATTCCACAGGAAACACAAAGTGACAGGGCACCCCATCACCCACCATCCTGGGGGGATGTCAGCACCCCTCAGTCACAGGTTCGATGGGAGAAGTGGGGTAGTGAGGCTTTACAAAGCGAACAAGCCATCATCACCGCACCTGCAAGCCACCTTCACACCTGCAAGGCTTTGGGGCAGGGAACTTGAGGGAACAGAAAAGTGACCACCACCAAGGAAACTGTTGACAGCTTGGATTGTGCTAAAATTTGAATTTTATCCATTTAAATTGCTGTTCATCCAAAATAAAATAAATTTCTATTCATCCAAAGGCACCATGAAGAGACTGAAAAAGTGAGACAGAGCGGTAATCACAGGGCAAACATTCCATAAGATGCATCCGAAGTGTGTGAAAGCTCCCACCAATGCATAAGGAAAAGGCCTAGAAAAGTGGCAAAAGCCCTAGGAGACCATCTGAATGGCCAGGAGCTTTGCTGTTGTGGAGGTGTGAGCCCGGAGGACGGCAGGCGTGGGCACACGGTCCCAGACTGTAGCCCCTGGTGAGCGCAGCACCACCCGGGAGGACCGCTGGGCAGGCCCACCTCGCCCTCTGACCCACACACTTTACAAAACCGCGGACACATGTTTGCCAACAGGATGTTCCCGACTGGTCACCACATGCTGTTGATTATCAGCTACAAACGGGAAACAACCGAGGCCCACCCCAGGATACGCTGCGGGGTGAGCGCCTGGCGGGCGCTGACGGCACAGCCCCCAGTCCCCGGCTCCAGCGTGACAGTGACCGTGGGAGAGGGAAGGAAGTGACCGTGAGATAACAGAATTTGTACAGATTGGTCTCTGCCCCAGTTCCTGGCACCGAGCCCCCGAAACCCTTGTCATGTCCTGGATGGCAGGAGCACGGCAGTCTCTCCTCCCGTGAGCAGCTCTGCTGGGCTCCTGGTGAGGCCTGGTCCCCAGAGGAACCAAGCCCTGCATTCCCGTGAGAGGGGACAGGGCTGACCCCACAGTGAATGACCGTCTGCGCAGAACCCTGCCGGGTGGGCTCAGGGTGAGTGGGAAGGGCAGCCGCTGGTTGGTGGCGCCCAGGACGCGGAAGCCCCGCCCCTTCCACGTGCCACGCCCAGCGCATCGCTTCCGTCCTGTGATCACCGGTGTCCGTTGTCACCTCTTTATAATCAGCTGGCAAATGCGGTGTTTCCCTGAGTTCTGTGAGCCACTCCCGCTAATCCAGGCGCAGCAGCCATGGGAACCTCCGGTTTGTGCCAAGTCAGACAGATGTCCGGGGCCTGGCGTCCACGGGGGCAGCCTTGTGGGACGGAGCCCTTAACCTGGGATCTGCGTGAGGCTCCACGCAGGCTGACAGCGTCAGGATGGACTGGAGTCGGTGCGCGGCATCGTGGGGAGTGAAGTCCCCACGCCTGGACCCGGCACAGAGCTTTGCATGACTCGGAAGGAGCCCCAAGGAGACAGGGGTGCAGGTGTGGAGAGGAGCGGAGGGCGACCTTCCCGGCCAGGCTACCCGCCCAGGAGCACCGGCCTTCCCGCGGGCGTCTGGCGGTGGCCACGCCATGGGCGCACTCCCCGTTTGTTCCCTTGAGCGCTTCCTGAACACTGTCACGCGGAATCGTTTGCCGACACTCAGTGCCCATCCTGGCACGTCCTTGCGATGCCTCCACTGTCATCTCGCAGCTTGGCCCCAGGTCCTGTCCCTCAGCCTCTCACAGGATTTTGGTCCCAGGCTCTCACTTCCGCCCATGACGCGTGGCTGCCGCGAATGGTCTTACTTCCCTTTGTGCCGATGTGCTGTCCACCCCACTGCTCCCGCCTGTGTTCCCAGTGGGGGCCGATGCATCCCAGTGACCTGGCCAGGGAAAGGCAACACAGCCCCAAGCCCAGGATGGCCGGGAGCCGGCCAGCAGCAGGGGCTTCAGGACCCAACTCTGCCGCTTGCTGGCTGTGTGGCTCACCCTCTCTGTGCCGCACCCAACTCTGCTGTGAAAGAGGGTCCTCCTGGCACCCCCGACCCGACCAGGAAGGTGTCCCTCAGGGTGGACAGTGTTTGGCAAAGTGCTCAGGGGGGTCCTGGCAGGGGCTGCTGCTCGCCACCTGTCTCAGAGGCATGTCACCTCGCCCCCCTCCTGAGGACTGGGTCACCTGGGGTAGTGGCATCTGACCCTCTGTCCTGGAACCTGTCTGGGGTCCCATCCCCAGGAGCCTACGTGGGGAGATGCTGGCGGGAGTGACCCCCTTTTCCTTCCTGACCTCTCCCAACGCTCTCCAGGGGCCCAGGAGTCATGCCCATTTGGGGTGCCCTCCACTGGAAGCCTTCAAGAACTCCACGCGTCCCCCACACTCCCAACAGGATGGGCAGTGCTGCCCGGAAGGGGTCTGTGTGGATCACCTCCAAATGACCTGGAGGAACATTCTAGAATCCATCATTTCCCACCGTGTCACTCTAATCCCTCCATTCCCCACAGGCATCAGGACAAAGCCCTAAGACCCAGAGATCCTGGACTGGCCTTGGGGGGCGGGGAGCAGAGGGTGGTGGGATGGGGGCGGAGCAAGGTCTCCCAGTAGCGGGGTCCCTTTAAAAGGAAGGAGCAGCCCTCAGCCAGGCAAAGGGAAGCCACGTGCTGGTTGCTGGTCAGCGTTCTCTGGCCAGCGTCCGACCCAACTAGGAAGGTGTCCCTCACGTAGCTGGAGGCCCCTCAAATGCCATCTATTTGTGGCCTGGACCCTGCTGGCTGGCAGGAGACATGTGACCTGGGACGGTATTTTTGGCCGTGGGGGTGGGGCTGCATGGCGAGCCAGCACCGGGCGGTGGACAGGCAGCTTGGACGCCCAGTGCTGCTGCTTGGCTGCTGCAGGTTCCAGGTACGACACCAGCAGCCCCTCATTCCCGCCCGGAGGGGTCCCCGAGGTAGACAGCCCCCAGGGGCCTTCCCCAGAGCTAGAGAGGAGGGCGAAGTTCAGGGTCAGGAAGCCGCCTCGGTGCCTGGGGTCCAGGCATCTCCAGCTCAGAGACAGAAGGGCAGCCCCACAGGGGTTGAGGGATTGGAGACTCCAGCCAGGGTCACCTTGGGTCACTGAGACGGGGCAGGGGAAGGGGCACGTCTGGGCCGGGGACACAGACCCTGGGGATGACCGAGGGAGGCAGGAGGCTCCTTTCTGTTCTGGGCCCTCCTCCCTAGGCTCTTCCCGGGGACCCACGTACACTCTGGCTGGCACCGGTGTGACCAGTGGGTGCTCAGAGGAAGCCCAGCAGCCTGTCCCAGCAAGGCTAGTGGAAGGTCATCACCCAAGGCTGGTCACCTGCTGGGTACTGTGGCCCCGCCCCCATGGCCAAATGCCCCCTGGGGCATGCTGGGACAGGCCAGGGCTCCCCACAGCCAGGTCGGCCTGTCCGGAGGAAAGTTGGAGGGTAAGGCCGACCCAGCTGGGCAGGAGATGCTCGGAGACGTGAAGGAGAGCCACCTCTGGGGTTGACAATCCACGCACGAGGATCCTTCGCCGTGCCCCTTGCCGATCCAGAGCGCGTTTGGTGGAAGGAACGTGACCCCATGTCGTAGAGTTGCCACGGGGGTCAATTTAAAAGCAGAGACGGTGGGGCTGCGGCGCTTCGGCCCTGGAGGAAGCAGCCAGCTGCCGCCTGCACCCTGCTTAGTGGCCTTCGGGACGAAGATGGCGGCCCAGTGCTGAGCCAGGGTGGAGGGGTGCTGGCAGGCGGGCAGGGGGTGAAGACCCCGGCTCTGCTGCTCACGCGCCCTGCTGACCGAAATGGAGAACTTCCAGTACAGTGTCCAGCTGAGTGACCAGGACTGGGCTGAGTTCTCGGCCACTACCGAGGAGTGTGGTCTCCTGCAGGCCAGCCTGGCCTCTGGGGACGAGCTGCTGTCCAGTGACATTGACCAAGGGGACAGCAGCGGCAGCAGTCCCCCCGGGCCCCGGCCCCTGCTTGGGGGGAGTGGCTGGCCTGGCTTTGAGGAGGAGGACCAGGCGGCCACGAAGCAGCTGGTCAGCAGGTC